GCTCAAGGCTAGCTCTCTACCACTTGAGCCATAGTGCCACTTCCGGCTTTTTCTGCTTATGTGGTGCTGAGGAATCGAACCCAGGGCCTCAAGCATGCAAGGCAAGCGCTCTACCACTGAGCCACCTTCCCAGCCCTGATCTATATTTTCTAAAGACAAAGCTCGGCCACTTGTGTTGGTCTATGTGGGGAATAGACTGTAGGGAGGAGATACAGTAATCCAACTAAAACATATTCCTATGTCTTCATTTACTTCAGACATTTTTAAGGTACAGAATTATCTCCTGGTCTAAATGTCTTAAAAATGCTACATCCTATCTCCTTGAATAAGTCACATTTTAGTCTAAAAATAACCAGATCCAGGTGATTCTAGTTTTTAGTAACCCACAATTACTCTAAAATAAAGCAGGCTAGCTCACGCCTGTAATCCTAGCTACTCAGGAGGCCGAGATCTGAGGATCACGGTTCAAAGCCAGCCTAGCCAGCCCAAGCAGGAAAGACTGTGAGACTCCTATCTCCAATAAACCATCAGAAAACTGGAAGTGGCGCTGTAGCACAAGTGGTAGCTCACTCGCCTTGAGCTGAAGAGCTGAGGGACAGCGCCCATGCCCAGAGTTCAAGCCCCACAACCGACCAAAAAAATAAATAAATAAAATATGAAATAAAGCAGGCTGTAAGATGAGATACCTTGTCTGAACTGTAGATTCACTAACAGCTTGAAGCTTCTCTTGCAAACAATAGATCTTTGCTCCATAGCTTTCTTCAGTTTCTTTCAACTGCTGCTGCAAAGAGGATATGAGTTTTTCTAATTCTTGAATTTGTTCTTCAAGTTGTTGGATTTTTTTGACATCTTGCAGAGAATATAATTTGTATTTGTGATCGACACCTATGTTACAGGAACAGAGTAAAATGCTATTTTAATAAAAATTTCTTAGTGAAATAAAAGTATCACTTATTTGTATGCAGTGATAATATGTTTGAAAATGTTTTTAGTCATAACAACTCAGGCTTTAATTTGATTTACTCTGAAGGAAGAAAATAAGAAAATAGATGCATTCAAGACCATTAGTCTGTCATCATTATTGTAATTTTTGTTTCCTTATTTGTCCAAGCTGGTAGTGGGGTTTGAATTAAGACCTAATGGCTTGCTTGACATTTTTGCTCTTGGCTAGTGTTCTACCACATGAGCCATACTTCGAATACCAATTCTAGCTTTTTGTTGGTTAACTGGGAGATAAGAGCCTTTAGGGTATGTCTGCTTGGGCTGGCTTCAAGCCACCATATTTAGATCTCAATCTCCTAAGCAGCAAGGATTATAAGTGTTACCTTGGATAAATTCAACCAATATATAACTTTTAATTTAAAATAATTCAGAAAAAAATGGGTTAGAAGCATGACTCAGTTGGTAGAGTGCTAGGTAGAAGCAAAAGCATCAAGTACTGAGTTTTAGTTCCAGTGTCACACCAAAAAATAAAAATAAAGAAAGAATATAAAAAGTGAGAAGGAACCAAAAGACTATTTTACAGTTATCATTTCGTAGATGAGAAAATTAAGACTAGATAGGACCTGGCCGTTGGTGTCTCACACCTGTAATCCTAGCTACTCAGGAGCCTGAGATCTGAGGATCATGGTTCAAAGCCAGCCTGAACAGGAAACTCCGTGAGACTCTTATCTCCAATAAGCCACTCGGAAAACTGGAAGTGGTGCTGTGGCTCAAGTGGTAAAGTGCTTGCCTTGAGCTGAAGAACTGAGGGTAGGGCCCAGGGCCTAGAGTTCAAGCCCCACAACTGACCAAAAAAAAAAGAAAAAAGAAAAAAAAAGACCTAACAGGTTTTAATGAAGTGCTGAAGATCATCAAACTATCTCAAATTTTAAAGTAAAAAGGCAAATTACCGAATACTTGATATAAAAATAACAAAGTGCTATATCATTAAATTTTACCAATGTTTTGTGAATTGGTCATCTGTAAATGGGCTGATGAAATCTCTGTTTCTTGTTCTGTAAGGTTTTCTTCGGTAAGTCCAAGTTCCATACCATCTATTTGCTGACCTTGAATCTATAAAAAACAACAAGAGCAGTAGCATAAATATACAATCCAATACTTAAAAATCAATACTAAAGCAATTAAAGCAGATTTGCATTTAATATTTTTGTAAAACCACTCCAAAGTATGCTACTCTGATACAAACATTTTCTATTATAAGCATTCCTGTTCTTTTTGACAAATGAGTGATTTGTATCCAATCCTTTTTACAGCACTCAAATTATATTAGTAATATTCTTTCATAAGTTCATTGTCACAAAAACAAGTGCTCCAAGACAATCTGATAGAAAGATCATAACAATATCTATTATACAACTTCATCTTCAAGTTTTAACTCATACACAATATTTAGTATATAAATATCTGATTAAAAACAAAACCAAACCAAAAACTGCCTAGCAAGTGCAAGACCTTGTTTAAACCCCAGTGCTGCCAAAAAAAACTTTCTTAATTTTTTTCATTATAATTACAACACATCTTCACCAATATATGCTTTATTTTCCTAATATAGTTAAAAGTATTGGGCCATGCATACTCTATTTTCATACTTTTAAAATTTTTGTTTGTTTTTTTGGTTGTGGGGCTTGAACTCTAGGCCTGAGCGCTGTCCCTCACCTCTTCAGTTCATGGCGAGCACTCTACCACTGGAGCTACAGGGCCACTTCCGGTTTTCTAGTGGTTTATTGGAGATAAGAGTTTCACGGATTTTCCTGCCCAGGCTGGCTCTGAACTGTGATCCTCAGATCTCAGCCTCCTGAGTAGCTAGGATTACAGGCGGGACCCACCAACGCCCGGCTTTCATACTTTTTTTTTTTATAAACTATTCTTAATTGCTTGAAAATAAAATTGATATAGTCACAACCCAATGTAATAGCTATGTTAAATAATTAACTTGTTAAATAGTAATTAGCTATCTGTGAAACAAATGAACTAATAATCATATTTTTCAAAAATCATTAAGATAGATCCATTGCTTTCTAAGTGTAGGGAACTAGAGATGTAGTTCAATGGTGGTGTTTGCTTATCATGTCTAAGGACCTTGGTTTGATCCCAACCACTGTGAACAAAAAGGTCTACACATAATTAAATGATGCAATTTTGTCACATAATTTAACACTTGACATATATAATTTATCATTGCTTAAAAAAAATCTTCTCCAGAGTTATGTATTACATATATGTACAGAAATCCCTTCAGCTCACTGCTATAAATGCTTTACTATGGACCTAAATGTTTTTTTAATCTCCTTTGTTCATATTCACTTCTTTTAGAACTTCTAGACTGATAAAGCAGTTAAAAAACCAGCAGGCAACACAATTAATGCAAACATTACATGAGTGCATTTTGTATTTTACAAACCTTGCTTAATTGCATTTGGAGTACCAGGAGTTTGTTGTACTCTTCTGTTATTTTGTTGAGAAGGATGTACATGTTTTCTTGAAAGTCTATGTAGTAAATAATGACAACAATTACACTCCATAACAAAAGATTATACCTTTCAGTAAGTATCATTCATTTATTTATAACTTTGGAAATGTTCTGAAATACACCTATTTTATTTAGTAGTCAAAAATTAAAATTTCACAACATGAAACGTTTGTGAAATTTTATATTACAATGTAAATTTCTTTTTTTTTAAAGAATTATATACAATTTCCAAACTGTATACAATTCATCCATTACTCATGGAAATGAAATATCTATTGGAATCTAATGGAATATTTTATCTGTGAAGAAGCACCAAAATCTTGAGTTTAACAGTTTGTTAAAGTGTACTAATACTGGATTTATAGTAAGAAAGGCATTCCTTAACGTAACTTATCTCTCAATCTTGTTACCAATTTTTAAAATGATAAACCATTTGCATAAATATATGCAGTAACAACTAGGTCCATGACGTTTTTAATAAAAAAAAAAAAAGAAAAAGGTGAGAGTTGAGAAACAGCAAGGGAGATGAGGAACCTTCTATAGACAGGTGTGATTATTTCCATTGCACAATTACTGTAGCATAATAAAATGTATACAGTAAATGTAGTATTTCATATCTAGGAATAAGGCAAGATACTGAGAGTTAACTTCAACTTCACAGAGTGATTAGATCATGATGAAAGCTCAAAGCTTGTTCTTAATTAACTTAAAAATTAAAGGTAAGATTTTATTACCTTGAAGTTCATATCTATAATCTTGTAATACTGGACCTTGATTTAGAGAAACATCAACACCAGAATTCTCTCTCTCTGTTACATCCACTTCACATTTTAAAGCGGGAGTATAATATTCACCAAGGACATGGCTCAAAGTCTGGTAACAAAATTGAATATTTCAAGATATTAAAATTTTTATTTCTACTTCTAAATATCATTAAGCATTCCTTCCACTAGAAGCTAAAGATAGTCAAATGGCAGGGAAAACTCATAACTCTTTCTCCATACACCAAATCAACCTGCAGAAGAGACAAAATTAAGTCTAAATATTCTTTCTCTAACACAAAATTCTTACATCAGGAAAAAACTGATAATCTTCATTGTACAAACTGTATTTTTCGGGCGCTGGTGGCTCACGCCTGTAATCCTAGCTACTCAGGAGGAGGCTGAGGTCTGAGGATTGTAGTTCAAAGCCAGCCCAGACAGCAAAGTCTGTGAGACTCTAATCTCCAATAAATCACTAGAAAACCAGAAGTGGCGCTGTGGCTCAAGTGGCAGAGCACTGGCCTTGAGCTGAAGAGCGCAGGGACAGCGCCCAAGCCCAGAGTTCAAGCCCCACAACAACAAAACAAACTGTATTTTTAATTTGGCCTCTATTTTTTATTTGATTTCTCTTTTTTTGCAGTAGTGCAGTTTAAATTTAGGGCCACACACTTGTTAAACAAGTATTCTATCACTGTGTCAAGCTTTCAGTCATTTTTTTTGCACCTTTTGTTATTTTTCCTATAATGTCAAAATCTTCTGTATCTATGCTTCTCAAGTTACAGGGCATAACACCATGCCTAACTTGTTGGGTGAGATGAGGTTTTTGCTGATATGTACTTGAACTATGACGTGCTCAACCTTTGCTGACAGATGGAATTAAAGGCATGCACCAACATACCCAGCCCAATGAAGTGTAACTTACACTTAATACCCATCACTTCCTAGCTTAGATCCTATTCCAATTTATTTCTGTACCCTTAACATGTTGTATTACTATGTAAACTACCCTTGACAAAACAATGCAGCACAAGACAAAAATCACAAATGAAATTTAAAGTTGTATCGAGCAAGAGATAACACTCACATAGAATAACATAGGAGAGTAGTTTTGGACAGTTTAAACACACACAAAAATTAAAAACATTTGATATTGTGCTTGTTCTCCAGAGAAATGACCATTCTATGATCAGTTTGCAGAGGTGAAGAATGTTTGTCCTCTAAGCCCTTGAAAAGCTTTTAGTACATGACAGAACAGACACATAGGCTTCTCATCAGCTGCCTGCTGCCCATCTGACTGTATTGATAGTTTTGCATGACTTGTGAATGATGTTATAAATATCCAAAAAAGTTTCACTGTTGCCCTTCAATAACTGGAAACAAACATCAACTAATTCTAGACTTAAAACCAAATTACAATATATAGCTACTTTTTTTGTGCTGAACACGGGGCTTGAATTCAGAGCCTGGGTGCTGTCTCTGGGCATTTTTCATCATTGCTAGTATTCCACCACTTGAGCTTTTTTTTAGAGGGGTGAGGGGTGGGTTAATTGGAGATAAGAGACCTAGAGACATTCTTGCCTGGGCTGGGTTAATACTGTAATCCTTAGATCTCAGACTCCTGAGTAGTGTGGCTTACAGACTATACAACTGTTTCTTAATATCTCTTATGTAATCAGTTACTGAGTGTACTAAATTTTCACCACAGTCCCTAACATAAAATTTTATCGAGTTGAATTGAGACTCAGAATGATTAATAGTCCTTGTATAGCTCCACTGATGATTATTGTCTGTTCTGCTCTGATAATTTATGTGAATTTTTTTCTTCTTTTATATGGTGCTAGGGATTAAGTCCAAGATGTCATATTGTTAGGCAAGAGTTCTACTACTGAGCTATAATCCCAGTCCTTTATTTCTTTGGCTTCATACTGATTACCAGACAAATCTTAAATGTGCATTTTCAGCTAAAAAACAACAACAAAAAACAACTTAGGAGTGTGTTCTAAGTTCTAGAAATATGGTATTTGAAAAATCTAGGATGGATAATTCTTTCCATCAAGTAAGTAGCAATTTAAAATTTAGTTCCACTTGTCCCAAGGTACTGTGTATGTGTGAAATACTGTTTCCCCCACATTTTAAAATTAACAACAATTAATTGTACAGAAGGTTTCATTTGGCGTGTCTACATCTAAATACAATGTATCTTGATTAGACCCATCTGTTTTGTCACTCTCTCCCATCCTCCCCTTTCCAAATCAATCTCAGTAAGCTTCACAGTTCCCTTTTCACACATAAACATAAAGTATTTTGACCATATCTACCCTTCTTCACCCTCTTTTTTTTGTTCTCCCCTATCTCATTAGTACCTATACATGAAACAGGATGGTTTATATTCCTGTCATTAATTTTCTTTAAGTGTTTAATGGTCTAAAGGTTTTTCACAGTGGTATTTTACACATGCATATATATAGTACTTTCATCAGGCTGACTTACCCATTTTTCTTTTGCCCATGCCCACTACCCCCAATTATTCAAAGGCTTTCAACAAGTTTCACCTGGCCATCTTCACTCCATTTGTTTCTATTCCAGAGATTTCCCTATTCCTTCTTATGGCAGTTTCAGTTTTAGGCCTTCCATCAAGACCCTGGATTTATTTTCAATGATGTTAATACAGCATGAAAAATAGGGATATAGTTTCAGTCTTCTACTTGTGGATGTCCAGTTTTCCTAGTTCCATTTGTTCAAAAGGCTATCTTTACTCCAACAAATGTTTTGGGCTCCTTTGTCAAAAATTAGAGTGTTGTAGCTGAGAGTTGTTTTATTTCGGGGTCTTGATTCTGTTCCATTGATCTTCAGGTTGGTTTTTGTGCTATGCTATTTTTACTATGACTGTAGTATAATTTCTTTTTTGTGTGTGTGTGCCAGTCCTAGAGCTTGAACTCAGGGCCTGAGTCTTTTTTGCTCAAGGCTAGTGTTCTACTACTTGAGTGACACCTCCACTTCTAGCCAATCTTTTTCTTTCCCCTC